GAACTGAGCTATGTTCTCAGTTCTTTGTAATACAACGCCAAATCAATGGTTGAATGTCTAATTAACTTCAATCTGAACTGAGCTATGTTCTCTATTCTTTGTAATACAACTCTGAATCAATGGTTGAATGTCTAATTAACTTCAATTTGAACTGAACTATGTTCTCTATTCTTTGTAATACAACTCTGAATCAATGGTTGAATGTCTAATTAACTTCAATCTGAACTGAGCTATGTTCTCTATTCTTGTAATACAACTCTGAAGCATAGCTCAGTTCAGATTGAAGTTAATTAGACATTCAACCATTGATTCAGAGTTGTATTACAAAGAACAGAGAACATAGCTCAGTTCGGATTGAAGTTAATTAGACATTCAACCATTGATTCAGAGTTGTATTACAAAGAACTGAGAGCATAGCTCAGTTCAGATTGAAGTTAATTAGACATTTAACCATTGATTCAGAGATATATTACAACGAATAGAGAACATCATTCAGATTGAAGTTAATTAGACTTTCAACCATTGATTCAGTTTTATTACAAAGAATAGAGAACATAGCTCAGTTCAGATTGAAGTTAATTAGACATTCAACCATTGATTCAGAGTTGTATTACAAAGAATAGAGAACATAGCTCAGTTCAGATTGAAGTTAATTAGACATTCAACCATTGATTCAAAGATATATTACAACAAATAGAGAACATCATTCAGATTGAAGTTAATTAGATATTCAACCATTGCTTCAGAGTTGTATTACAAAGAATAGAGAACATAGTTCAGTTCAGATTGAAGTTAATTAGACATTCAACCATTGATTCAGAGTTGTATGACACAGAATTGAGAGCAATGGTTCAATGTCTAATTAACTTCAATCTGAACTGAGCTATGCTCTCAATTCTTTGTAATACAACTCTGAATCAATGGTTGAATGTCTAACTAACTTCAATCTGAACTGAGCTATGTTCTCAATCCTTTGTAATACAACTCTGAAGCAATGGTTGAATATCTAATTAACTTCAATCTGAACTGAACTATGTTCTCTATTCTTTGTAATACAATTCTGAATCAATGTTTCAATGTCTAATTAACTTCAATCTGAACGAGCTATGTTCTCTATTCTTGTAATACAACTCTGAATCAATGGTTGAATGTCTAATTAACTTCAATCTGAATGATGTTCTCTACTCTTTGTAATAGAACTCAGAATCAATGGTTGAATTAACTTCAATCTGAACTGAGCTATGTCTCTATTCTTTGTAATAGAACTCTGAATCAATGTTTGAATGAATAAATAAATTCAATCTGAACTGAGCTGTGTTCTCTATTCATTGTAATACAACTCTGAATCATAGGTTGAATGCTAAACCTCAATCTGAACTGAGCTATGTCCTTTACTCTTTGTAATACAACTCTGAATCAATGGTTGAATGTCTAATTAACTTCAATCTGAACTGAGCTATGTTCTCTATTCTTGTAATACTAACTCTGAAGCAATGGTTGAATGTCTAATTTATGGTGTAATTATACCTGAAACTGATACCTATTTTCTGGTGTAACTCTACTTGAAACTGATACCTATTTTCTGGTGTGACTCTACCTGAAACTTGTACCTATTTTCTGGTGTAATTGTACCTGAAACTGATACCTATTTTTATAGCATAATTATATCTGCAACTTATTTCTGTTTCGTATGCAATATGACCACAAATTGATGTTACTTTCTAGTATAATTTGAACCTGAACTAATCTCTATGTGCTAACGTGTTTTACAATTAATTGATCCACATTTTATAGTAAAATTTAACCCTTAACTGATCTCTATTTGATAATGTTGTTTCTTAAATGTGTTATGTGTCCAAAATATAAACTGTTTCCAACCAAAACAACTAGTTTTTACCTTTTGTTTACAACAAAAACTATAGCTTTATTCTAATGTTTAATTACTTGTCTATCCTTCTGTGTACACCTCTTGTCTGCAATTTTGGTGATCCATACAATCAAAGAGATGAGAAAATTCCATCATATCTTCCTTTACAGGCCCGTTATTTTAAAGTCAACACTCAACTAATTATCTAAGTCAATTTTCATTTTGACTTCTTTTCTTCAATTGTGATATAAAAAAAGTTAAAAGAAAAGTAAAACGCTTCCATATTTCTGTCAATGTTCCATTACTTTAATAGGATATTTTGTACACTCACTAAATTTCTTATGCTATATAGTTTTTGCTGATATTTACAAAATATACACAAATATTTTAAGCTAAAAAAACAAAGGTCTGATAAAAGTGAAACATAAATTGTCCATATTGCAGATACTTTGTTAATAGATGTCAAAATATCATAAAACGTCCAAATTTCTCATTGTTTGTTATAACCTGAAAATTTGCAGATACCTTGTTAAAACACATTGAAATATGATAAAAATTCCAAACTTCTCACTGCTAAGTATTTTCATACTTGAAAATTTCCTGGCTAAATTTGTTGCTTCTATAATAATAAATTTCCAAATTTTAAGAGTAATTATCAAGATCATATGTCAATATTTCACTTTTTCATAATGATACCTTTTCTTGAAAAAACAACAAGAAAACATAATCTTAACACATTTATTATGTAAAAGATAAAATTAAGAACTATTAATGTGTGAATTAAAATCTTCAAAAGTATACACAACTGTCTATAAAATGTCTAAATAAATTATACAGGCATTCTTCACTCGTAGCTTTTTGTAGTCCTTAATAACTCACGAGCAATGGAGCACATATCAGTCCATTGACATATAACTAGCACAAACTGTGATATACAAACACACAGTCGAGTTTCTCTGACTGAAACATTGTCATTTTGAATCAACTAATATGGGATCAAGTCCTAGTGAAAATTCAAACCTCCACACCCATGGCAAAAAAATCTGTTTTAAAAAAAAGTATTTACTATAGTCATGTAAATTTCTTGCACGTTCTGAGCTGATATGTTATCCATTTTTCAACTTCTCTGGAAACAATACCTGATGCTGTAATATTCCAATACAAGATAATTGTGATTTTTTAAGAAATATGATGTTTTTACTAGTAATAATCCAATACAAAGAAGCCAATGCCATCTTAATTTGTCAAAAATCTTTCAAAACTGCTGATTCCCATAACATTAGAAGTGTACGTGTTAGATTGTAGTTAGCAATGTTTGAAAAATGATAAATAATCAGTTGAATTTAAAAGTAACACCTACAGAAAAGTACTTTTTTAGCAATATCACTTTAATGTTGAATAACAAATTGGTGCTGACTAACAATGTGAGTGTAAGTTCAGTAGGTTATAGAAACGTCATGGTTAACAAGATGAGGTCCTGACTAACAATGTGAATGTAAGTTCAGTAGAGTACAGAAAAGTCACGGTTAACAAGATGAGGTCCTGACTAACAATGTGAGTGTAAGTTCAGTATGTTAGAAAATTCAAGGTTAACAAGATGAGATCCTGACTAACAATGTGAATGTAAGTTCAGTAGATTACAGAAAAGTCACGGTTAACAAGATGAGGTCCTGACTAACAATGTGAATGTAAGTTCAGTAGGTTATAGAAAAGTCATGGTTAACAAGATGAGGTCCTGACTAACAATGTGAATGTAAGTTCAGTAGGTTATAGAAAAGTCATGGTTAACAAGATGAGGTCCTGACTAACAATGTGAGTGTAAGTTCAGTAGATTACAGAAAATTCAAGGTTAACAAGATGAGTGTAAGTTCAGTAGGTTATAAATAAGTCATGATTACATGGTGAGTTTGGCTAAAAATGTGGTCATACACTTGATAAATTATGTATAAGTTAGGGTTACCAAAGTAATGAGGAATGGATAAGCATTAGTCATAAGTATGACAAGTCATGAAAAGATAAGGTAGAAGAAGTGCTGGTTAAAATGATCAGTCAAGGTTTGTGTGCTATAGTTAAGGAAACTGACATAAAATAAACTACAAAACCCACTCTTAACTGTAAAATAACCTACTTGAACATCATTCTGAAGTTAATACATCTGATAATGTTTGAATATGACTAAACATGGCAGGAAAGCTCCAACCATGCTTCATAAGGATGGAAACTGGTTCTGAAATAATGAAAACAAATTCCTTAAACTTATTTCTCTTCATAGCACAAAAACTGGTTCAACTATAACACTAAAAATTTAGAAGGTTCTGACTATAACTTTTCTTTGCAATTTACCACAAAAACTTCTTGTAATTACAAGGGTAAGAATAAATACAAAACTACAAACTATTTGTCAGTTCTTTTGTTAACACACCATACATTATAATGTTAATAAAACTATAACAGAAAATTTCCATGTTTACAAATGACTAACAATTTTTAAATATTTTCCTTTGTCCTCTTCAAATTACTAAGATTAACAAAAAACTATGTTAAACAGAGCTTTGTTTAACAAGACAAATCTGACTGCCAACCTCACCAGACCCTCTGTCTAAGCTTTGACTACTTGCTGTTGATGACACACAAGTTCTTGGCTGCAATTCTTCAGGACTGGATGATAGAGGAGGGACAACAGCTACCGGAAGAGGCATTTGGTCTGGACCTAGTGAAGAGCTTAAATATTTATTTCTGTAAAAACAAATTAATTACTATAGCTCTAGAGCAGAAAAACCTATGCTAGGAAATTATGTTTCTTTAAAAGGTAAAATACGTTAAGCAAATCCGAAGATAGCACAATTTCTTATAGAAGATTATGTTTGACAAATAAAGGAAAAATTTTCTTTACTATTTTATTTCTATTTTAAACAAGTTCAGATGATAAGTCTAGAAGATTAATGCTACCATGACTCATACTAACACCAGGTTCATATCAATAAAGAAAGGGATTAAACCTTTGCCAGTGTTATTCAACACTAGTTCCATAACTTTGGATGGCTAAAGTCAAGATGGCTGATAACAGAACCAAGTACAGTCATCATTGACCATCCAACACAGAAAGTTTTATAATTTTGACAGTGTTAAAAGAGAGCTATTACTCCAAACAGATGTACTGTTTTGGTGAATAAGGACTTTTACTTTAAATATATTATGTCTAGTACATAAACTTTGGAATGAAATAATTATTGTACAGGTAACAGGAAAATACTTTATGAAAACCCACATGAACAGAATGCAAGTTTACAAATATTGCAAATAACAAATTTCAGAAAATAGCCTATAACAATACATATATGTTAGAATGTGCTGAGTTCTAAATGTTATTAATCCTAAGGACAACAAAATAATCATAACCTACGAAAGAATTATGTATAATTCAATGTAAATATTAGAAATTTACTAACAACTTTTAACAAGATTTTTCTAGGCCTGAAATATGATCAGAGTGATCAAGAAATACTTATTAAAAAATTGAAAAATGATAATCCATAAATAAAGATATAAGAAGCTTACGGCAACATTCCAGGTCTGCATGCAAAGAAGAAAGAAAACAGCAAGACATGCCAGTAAATTAACCAATTCTTCTTGTTCAGCATACAAGAATTTGTTGCTTCTTAAACTCTACATAAACACTTTGGTGCAGACTAATGACATAAAAGAAACATTACAAAACACTGTATTCTAGTTTTAGTGACTAGGTTTTAAGACTACACAAATAATATAAAGCAATATTAGGCGGTATGTAGTCAACAAGCTAGTCAAATCTAAAACATTCACATTTAGTTTGGACTGGTTTTGTAACTGTAGATGGTATGAATGATTTAGTTTTGACTGGTTTGGGGACTGTAGATGATATGGATGATTTAGTTTTGACTGGTTTGGGGACTGTAGATGATATGGATGATTTAGTTTTGACTGGTTTTGTAACTGTAGATGGTATGAATGATTTAGTTTTCATATTATCTCTAAAGTCACCAAACCAGTCAATTCTAAATCATTCATATTATCTCTAAAGTCACCAAACCAGTCAATTCTAAATCATTCATACTATCTCTACAGTCACCAAACCAGTCAATTCTAAATCATTCATACTATCTCTAAAGTCACCAAACCAGTCAATTCTAAATCATTCATATTATCTCTAAAGTCACCAAACCAGTCAATTCTAAATCATTCATACTACCTCTACAGTCACCAAACCAGTCAAATCTAAATCATTCATACTACCTCTACAGTCACCAAACCAGTCAATTCTAAATCATTCACCAAACCAGTCAAATCTAAATCATTCATCAAACCAGTCAATTCTAAATCATTCATACTACCTCTACAGTCACCAAACCAGTCAAATCTAAAATCATTCATCAAACCAGCCCAATCTAAAATAATCACACGACCTTAGGGAGTCAGCAAGCCAGTAAGTTTTAAAAACTTCTCCACATTTAGCAAACTAGTCACATGAAACAGAGCCAACATGCTTCATACACAACAATTGTTTGTGATTGCTCTAGGAGTTGACTACTTACATCAGTATCTATAAAAGTGATGGAACTGGAAGGTTGAAGTCTTACTTAAAATATACATAAAACAGTGGAGTGATTCAAGAGTCATTTATTGAATGTTATACAGGTTAGTCATTCAGGAGTCATTTACAGTTACAAAGGTTAGTGATTCAAGAGTCATTTATGGTGTTGTACAGGCTAGTGCTCCATGAGTCATTTATAGTGTTATAAATGTTAGTGACTATGGAGTCATTTATAGGGTTATTCAGGTTAGCAATTCAGGAGTCATTTATAAAGGATAGTGATTCTGGAGTCATTTATGGTTTTATACAGGTTAGTGATCCAAGAGTCATATATGGTGTTATACAGATTAATGATTCAGGATTCATTTATGGTGTTATACAGATTAATGATTCAAGATTCATTTATGGTGTTATACAAGTTAGTGCTTCAGGAGTAACATATGATGTTATAAAGGTTAGTGATTCAGTTGTTTATAGTGTGTGTGTGTGTAAGGCAGGTTAGTAACTAAGAAGTCATTTATAATGTTACACATGTTAGTGATTATAGAGACATTTATAGTGTTATAAAGGTTAATGATTCAGGAGTCATTTATGGTGTTATTCAGGTTAGTGGTTCAGCAGTAATTTATAGTGTTATACAGGTTAATGATTCAAGAGTCATTTATAGTGTTAAAAATGTTAGTGCTTCAGGAGTTGTTTATAGTATGTTATACTGATTAGTGATTCGGGCATCATTTACAGTGTTATACAGGTTAGTGGTTCAGCACTAATTTATAGTGTTATACAGGTTAGTGATTCAACAGTAATTCATAGTATTATATGGGTAAGTGCTTCGGGAGTTGTTTATAGTGTTATACAGATTAGTGATTCAGGAATCATTTATGGTGTTATACAGATTAGTGATTCAGGAATCATTTATAGTGTTACACAGATTAATGATTCAGGAATCATCTATGGTGTTACACAGATTAATGATTCAGGAATCATTTATGGTGTTACACAGATTAATGATTCAGGAATCATTTATGGTGTTACACAGATTAATGATTCAGGAATCATTTATGATGTTATACAAGTTAGTGATTCAGGAATCTTTTATGGTGTTATACAGATTAGTGATTCAGGAATCATTTATGGTGTTACACAGATTAGTGATTCAGGAATCATTTATGGTGTCATACAGGTTATTGATTCAAGATTCATTTATGGTGTTACACAGATTAGTGATTCAGGAATCATTTATGGTGTTATACAGGTTATTGATTCAAGATTCATTTATGGTGTTACACAGTTTAGTGATTCAGAAATCATTTATGGTGTTATACAGATTAGTGATTCAAGATTCATTTATGGTGTTACACAGATTAGTGATTCAGGAGTAACTTATGGTGTTATACAGGTTATTGATTCAAGATTCATTTATGGTGTTACACAGATTAGTGATTCAGGAGTAATTTATGGTGTTATACAGGTTATTGATTCAAGAATCATTTATGGTGTCATACAGATTAGTGATTCAAGATTCATTTATGGTGTCATACAGATTAGTGATTCAAGATTCATTTATGGTATCATACAGGTTATTGATTCAAAATTCATTTATGGTGTCATACAGATTAGTGATTCAGGAATCATTTATGGTGTTATACAGGTTATTGATTCAAGATTCATTTATGGTGGTATAGAAGTTAGTGGTTCAGGAGTCATTCATAGTGTTAAGAAGGTTAACAATTCAGAAGTCATTCATAGTATTATACAGGTTAGTGATTCAGGAGTCATTCAAAGTATTATACAGGTTAGTGATTCAGGAGTCATTCATAGTGTTAAGAAGGTTAACAATTCAGAAGTCATTTATAGTGTTAAACAGGTTAGTGATTCAGGAGTCATTCATAGTATTATACAGGTAAGTGATTCAGGAGTCATTCATAGTATTATACAGGTTAGTGATTAAGGAATCATTTATGGGGTTATACAAGTTAGCAGTTAAAGAGTCATTTGTGTTGTTATACACATAATTAATTCAGGATTTTATAATGGTTTTATAAGGGTAAGTGTTTCAGGAGGTGTTTATAGTGTTATAAAGGTCAGAAAAACCTCCTATCTGCACTCTTCAGAAAACATTTGTTTTTTCATATTTAAAATACAACCAGTTTAGACAACTTAAATTCAAATATTTTCAGATTTTATCTGCCACATTAAACTCCTAGGATATTTTGACATAAAGTGCATTGACATCAGGTATCCTAATCATTTCAGGTTAAGTGTCTTAAGGAGACTTAATGAGCTTTACAGCTGTAGTGATCCTCCTTTGATTTAGTCAGCTGCAAATATTATTTGTACTATCCAAGTCTTCCATGAGTTTCTGATACATGTTTCTGAGTATAACAGTGATGTAAAACATTTAAGCAGACAAAGCAATGAGACCCAGCTGGTGAGCTCTGGTACTGAATAAAGACAAAAGGATATTTCTGAAATGTTATTTTTACATATGATCAACTGAAGACTAATTAAGTGAGTTACAAACATCTGAAGGTAAATGTGATTATAATCACTCTTATTAGACCTAAAAAGTCTAAGTGCTTCAGCATTCACACAACAATAAGAAACTTGTATTAAACACATTTAATAAGTATATTTTAATGTCATAGATCCAGCTCAGCTGAAAAGTTCTAGTAATGTGTGAAGAGCTACATGTGACAGTCAAAAGATAGAATAAAGATCTTGTTTTTGACAAAAAACTGTAAATGAAGTGGAATTTGAAATCAATACTTGAAATCAAATGTGTTTATATTCAACATCCTCGTAAAACACTGTGAGGAATTCTCATGTACTCTTGACTTTTAAGATCAGCTAGTGACTGATAATCATCTCTGGAAGACTGTCTGATGTCATTACATCAATCCTGAGTAAACAGTAAGATAAATAAGTTGTCCTGTCATACCATCAGTCCAAACTGAACTGTCAGGTGGATAGGTTGTCCTGTCATACCATCAGTCCAAACTGAACTGTCAGGTGGATAGGTTGTCCTGTCATACCATCAGTCCAAACTGAACTGTAAGATGGATAGGTTGTCCTGTCATACCATCAGTCCAAACTGAACTGTAAGATGGATAGGTTGTCCTGTCATACCATCAGTCCAAACTGAACTGTCAGGTGGATAGGTTGTCCTGTCATACCATCAGTCCAAACTGACCTGTAAGATGGATAGGTTGTCCTGTCATACCATCAGTCCAAACTGAACTGTAAGATGGATAGGTTGTCCTGTCATACATCAGTCCAAACTGAACTGTAAGATGGATAGGTTGTCCTGTCATAGCATCAGTCCAAACTGAACTGTAAGATGGATAGGTTGTCCTGTCATACCATCAGTCCAAACTGAACTGTAAGATGGATAGGTTGTCCTGTCATAACCATCAGTCCAAACTGACCTGTAAGATGGATAGTTTGTCCTGTCATACCATCAGTCCAACCTGAACTGTCAGATGGATAGGTTGTCCTGTCATAGCATCAGTCCAAACTGAACTGTAAGATGGATAGTTTGTCCTGTCATACCATCAGTCCAAACTGACCTGTAAGATGGATAGTTTGTCCTGTCATACCATCAGTCCAAACTGAACTGTAAGATGGATAGGTTGTCAGTTTTATAGAAGGTAATCTGAAGTTTGCTGCAGTGCATTATATTTATTTTTTCTGTAAACAGGTAATGTAATACTGGTCTTATTAACCTTCAGAAGTGTTGTTGTAACTACTCTTGAAGCACCAAAAGTTTCAGGCTAACAGTAAACCATGTTTAACTTGTTGCTCTAAGTTGTATCACTTTTGTAAATGGATTAATCTCTGACTAAGCCCCATGGTATACGAGTGACAGAGTTCAAATTTTGCTAGTCAATCCTTCAATTAGTACACTGCACCTGCAACACTTAACACTAACTTCAAGGGAACTAATTCTATTATAACCAGTGTTTAAAATTAGTACCCATTCATTACACCAAGAGGAATTAAAATTTTGTCAGAGGAGTCATTTTTATACAATAGTTTTCCATATGACAGAGTATTTAAGTGTAGATGGTGCAAAGTGTGTTTTGTAAATAGTTTAAAGATTAAGGGAACATTTAGTGGAATATTATTTGTTACACTGGACTAGCACCTATTCTCCTATTTTATGATAAATGATTATAGCCTATCAGACTATGACATAAGCATTTATTAAGGATAAAAACCACTTTCTTGACAGTGTATGTCTTTGGTTGACAATGTGACAACAATGAATGCAGGAAACTCGAATCACTTGTTGTCAAATTGGTTAGTTAAATCACCAAACTGCATCTAGGAATAAATGGACTTAACCGAAAGTAGGCCTAGATCAAATGTTAACATCAGTGCATCCAAGTTTAAGTTGTGACCATGTTTTATTGCAGATTATATATTTATAATATGATGCCATAAAAGCCTAGCATTTTAGACTTCTAGTCACACTTAAACTGTCAACAAATCTTCCTCCTTTCATTCTTAACAGATCTGTACTGACAAACAGGAGAATATACAAGGGCTTGTTATCTTTCTGTACTTTGACATGTGAGGAGTGTTAATACAGAATAACTCTTCATTGTGCTACAAGTCAAGATTATAACTGTTGGCTTCTGTTACAGATATTAGTTATTTTCTCATGGTAAGAGAAACATCATCAATACAGAAGGATCCATGTTAACTGTAGTTATCATTTAAAACTTCACACTGTTTTTCGTTTCTGGGATTCTACTCATGATTTAAGTTTGCTGACACTTTATGGAATATAAAATAAAGATTACAAGGTGAGTGTCTCTCAGGAAGTTTCATATGTAACTTATCTTTATTGATAATTACTGAAAACAAAAACACACACAATAGGTGGCAGACTACTAGTGTTCTTATTGCAATGGTGCAAAAAAAGCATTGATTGTAGAAACATGCTACAGGAAGAGCAAATGTGCAACAACTAAGTACATCATGCCACTTACATCTGCTCATGACGATGATCTGTACAGTGAAGAAACATCAAGGATGTTCTCAACCTGGAAGTCACAGTGAATTAAAATGAACTTACTAACAAAAAGAATAATTGCCATACAGAATACATTCATTTGAAATCTGCAGAGTATTAAACCTTCTCCTTGATAAGAACACTATTTACAAGAGTTTTTCAACCTCCTAGCATTCTACAGCTAAACAATAACTCTCTTAATTATGGACAACGAGTAAAAAATAGAAAATACTTATCAACAGCACACTACTTGAATGACAACTTTTTGATGTAAATGCTATTAAGCCACCTGCTCTAAAACATAACTATAATCTTAATAAAGTAAACAGCAGCTGCTAAAAACAGAATAACAAATTGTGTTAAGGCACACGCTCTGATAAATATATTCTTTATAAGGTCAACACATAACAAATTGTGTTAAGGCACACGCTCTGATAAATATATTCTTTATAACGTCAACACATAACAAATTGTGTTAAGGCACACGCTCTGATAAATATATTCTTTATAAGGTGAACACATAACAAATTGTGTTAAGGCACACGTGCTGTGATAAATATATTCTTTATAAGGTCAACACATAACAAATTGTGTTATGTCACACACTCAGATAAATATGGTCAATACATAACAAATTGTGTTAAGGTACGCACTCTGATAAATATATTCTTTATAAGGTCAATACATAACAAATTGTGAAATATCTAAACATAAATTTATTGAAGTGAAGTATACATTAATATGTAGTTATTATCTATAGTAGCTAAGAGTGAGACACTTCATTGTTTTACATTTAAAATAAAAAATTGACAATAAAAGCTCAAACATCATTTATATATAAACCATCTCTCAGTATTTGTAATTTGTTAGCCTACTTACATATCTGAGTATAACACATTCCTGATACTCAGAAGAAACTCTCTCAACTCTTTAATAATACACTTCTTACAAATATATGTACCCAGAACAAACCTAGTTTTCTCAAGTTGCACATTATTAGCAGTAACAACAACAACCTTGTGAAGTAAACTCCATATAACTTTGAAAGTATCCTACCCCGAGATCCAGTATTTTGGTAGGAGCTTTCTGTAATTGTCGGATAGCTGCCGTTCACAGTCTGTGGTGTTGTATTTATATTCGGTGTATATGCACTTGCTGCAGCAACCTGGTTGGTACTCGGACCTCTCACGTGGTTAGGTCCGGCAGGTTTGCCATTTTGCTAAGAAAATAATATATAATAAGGACTTATATGAAAAGATAAAAATTCAAACAAAGATGAAAAAAATACTCAATTCAGCAAACAATGAATTCACACACAAATTATAAATAATTCTATCAAAAGGTTTTCCTAAATATCCAATTCACTTTCTTAGAAATATTAAAATAATGAATTCATGCACACAAATTTTAAATAATTGTATCAAAAAGTATTCATAAATGTTAAATTAAATTCTAGGAGTGATATTGAACCTGTTATATTCTTGGATACCTGAAATGAAATAAGTTTGTAAATACTTGTTATTATAAATAAATTTTTACTGGTTTGTATTTTCATTCCTGTTTAGTATATATAAAAAAAAATTGAATAAATATTCACAAACTTTGTATAATCTGAAAACAGCAAAGAAACACCATTGAAACAACAAATATATCGTGTTTTCCAGTAAAGAGGAAAACGTGTAATTGAATTGAAGGAATATATTTTAAAAAGTGATAAGTTATGAACTTATCCTTAAATTCAACTTAAAATTATGTTTAAACCTAGAGTTTGCTTGAGTAGTTAGATTAAATTTAACTCAAAGATACTAGAGGGACATGCACATTTCATAAGCTTCTTAGAGTTACATTGTAAATTAAATAACAATGCTATATTATCAATGTATGTTAACATCAGAAAATGGTTTGTAATTTTCCATCTTATATTATCTAAGTTTTAATTTCAAAAGGAAATACTTTAATAACTTCTAAATTTGCACCCTTAAACCAATTATAGATAATTTATATTCATTATATGGGCTTCAGTTTGTTCAATCAATTATAAACATACTAAGCTAGAACACAGTTTCAATCTTCTCGCTTTACTAAGACATAACTATATCTGATCAACTGACATTTATATGCCTCTTCATATATCTTCTGTCTTTTAATAAATGTTTATAATTACTTTTTATACTGCTGTTGGATATGGTTATAACTAATAGAGAGCAAATTCTAAAATTCATAAAACAGATTTTAGTGAGAGCTTGACATGTTTAGACTAAATTTGTTGATCTGAACAGTAATAAAGTTTTTTGTCACCTACTTAAGTAGTCAGAAAGCCAGATAAATTACAGTAATTTTATGAAATTCTATTCTAGTGTCTGATGTATTTTTTTGTGATACAAAATGCATATTTGAAAGAAATAACAACTATTTTTGGATAACCAACATAGTGAGAAAAAAAAATAGGCTTACTAAACTAAGCACCAGAGTACAAAAAGCCACAATTGTTATTTTTTTTATTTTTATGAATATTTTTAAATTATTGTTACATGTTTTTTAACAAAAGTAGCTAAAATGAAAAACTAGAATCATATTAGGTTAGATAAGAAACCTTAAAATGAAAAAAAAAAAATATTATACAAATAGGAACCAAATGGACTGTGAAATATGATGCAACTACTGATGTAAATAAATAGTTTGTTTATTCTAACTTGCCCTAAGCTCTTGCTGGGAGATTTATTGCTGGTTATACATGGTTCAAAGAGTAATCAAACAATAACATCAAATGAAAGTAGACGTGAAACTGTTAAAAGCTTGAGGATGAATATTTGTAATTGTCTGTTACAATCTGTATTCATTCTAGAATAAATAAGAAAATGGTCATATTTTTCAAATTTGATTTGGATGATATCACTATGGTTAATGCTAGGATACGGAAAAGAAGAGAAAAAGCATAAATATTTAGCATAAACAAATTCTGGTATATATTTAGGAGATTTTAAGGATCTCAGCACAAAACTACCCTCAGTAAAGGCTTCATGAATTCACAGAAAAATCTTTAAAAAATGAATTATTGTGTGCAACACATATTTAATGTTTACTAAAAGCTTGCCAAATATTGCAAAGACAAACTTAGTAGGCTTAGAGTTACAGTATATACAGTTTCATGGTTATGTAGTGGTTACAAGGTCAGTCTAACTAACTCCAATCATACACAAAGGGTTAAAGATACGAGTCCAAGATGTAACCATGGTTATGGTGGCTCGGCCATTCGTTATTTGAGCACAAGCATTAAAGTATGTAAGGAATATTCCATATAATCAATTACCAAGACTTTTTACAAGGCTGATATTTCACCAAAAGTTCAAGACTTTCACATTTTAGGAAGTGCATAAAATGAGAGAATGCTGAGAGTGAAAGAAAATACTAAATATAACCTTAGTTCGTCTTTATTCTTCCTTACTAGTAAAGATCTATGAATAAGTAAAAGTCTGTCAGTTAAGTATGAGCTACATCAGTCTGTCCTATCCAGTGATTCTCTAACAATACTCTATGTAATCTGTCCTATCCAGTGATTCTCTAACAATACTCTATGTAATCTGTCTTATCCACTGATTCTCTAACAATATTCTGTGTAATCTGTCCTAACCAGTGGTTCTCTAACAATACTCTGTGTAATCTGTCCTAACCAGTGGTTCTCTAAAAATAATCTATGTAATCTGTCCTAACCAGTGGTTCTCTAACAATACTCTGTGTAATCTTTCCTAACCAGTGGTTCTCTAACAATACTCTATGTAATCTGTTCTAACCAGTGGTTCTCTAACAATACTCTATGTAATCTGTTCTCACCAGTGGTTCTCTAACAATACTCTGTGTAATCTGTCCTAACCAGTGGTTCTCTAACAATACTCTGTGTAATCTGTCCTAACCAGTGGTTCTCTAAAAATACTCTATGTAATCTGTCCTAACCAGTGGTTCTCTAACAATACTCTATGTAATCTATCCAAACCAGTGGTTCTCTAACAATACTCTATGTAATCTGTCCTATCCAGTGATTCTCTAACAATACTATATGTAATCTGTTCTCACCAGTGGTTCTCTAACAATACTCTGTGTAATCTGTCCTAACCAGTGGTTCTCTAACAATACTCTGTGTAATCTGTCCTAACCAGTGGTTCTCTAACAATACTCTG